GCGGGCCCCCTATGGCCCCCGCGGTCCCCTCGGACCGAGGGGGCCGAGGAGACCTGTTGGGGCTCAGAATGGAAGGATGAGGGGGGAGGAGAAAGAAGAGAGAGAGGGAGGGAGGGAGGAGGACGAGGAGCAGGAAGAAGAAGATGAAGGGAGGGCGGAGGAAGAGAGGGAGGAAGGAGGGATCGAGGAGGAACGAGCCGAGGTGCTTGCAGCCGTGCCCAGGCAGACGGCGGCGGGGCCTCTGCCGCCTCGGCGGAGTCTGCCTCGCGGGGCGGGGCGGGCGGGGTCGGGGCGGCCGAGGCCCCGAGGCGCGCCGCTTGCTCACCCAAAGCGGGGGGGGGGGGGGGCGACGCGGGGGGAAAACTCCGTGCCGCGGCCTCCTCCACGCCTCCGTGTCCCCCTGCCCTGCCCCTCTCTCCGCCCTGCCCCTCCCTCCCTGCTCTCCCCCCGTCGCCCTCCCAACTCTCCCCCCTCCACACCCTGCGCCTGCCTCCGCCGCCCGCTCCCGTCATCCCCCCTCTTCCCTTTCCTCCGCCTCTCCCCCGCCGCCCATCCCCTAGCACCGTTGTCGGCACCGCTGTGGTCCGTCATAGCAGCCGTCATGGTTGTCCCTCCACTCTCCTCCCTCCCCCTCCGACCTCCCGCTTCTCTTACCTTCGTCCTTCGCCGCGCCACCGTCTCTGCGTTCCTCCTTCCATCTCCTCTCCTCCTCCTCCTTCTCCTCCTCCTCCTCTTCCTCCCACCCTCTCCTCCTCCTCCTCCTCCTCCTCCTCCTCCTCCTCCTCCTCCTCCTCCTCCTCCGCCTCCTGCATCCTCCTCCTCCTCTCTCCTCACTGCCTCCTCTCTCTCCTCCTCTTCCTTCTCTCCTCATCCTCCTCCCCCTGCTCCTCCTCCTCGCTCCTCGCTCCACGCTCCTCATTCCTCACTCCTCATCCTCCTAACTCATCACACGTGACTCCTCCTCATCCTCAACCTCCTCCTCCTCCTCCTCCCCCTCCTCCTTCTCCTCCCTCCTCCTCCTCCTCCTCCTCTCCTCCTCCTCCTCCTCCTCCTCCTCCTCCTCCTCCTCCCCCCCTCCACTCCCTCCTCCCCCTACTCCTCCTCTCCTTCTCCTCCTCTTTTCCTCCTGCTCCTCCTCTCCTCTTTCTCCTCTCTCTCCTCTTGCTCGTACTTCTCTCCTCTCTCTCTCTCTCCTCTTCCTCCTCTGTCTTCTTCTCTCTTCTCTCTTTCTTCTCCTCCTCTCCTCCTCCTCCTGCTCCTCCTCCCCCTCCTCCTCCTCCTCCTCCTCCTCCTCCTCTTCTCTCCTCCTCCGTCCCTCCCCCGCTGCCTCTTTCCTCCTGATGACGTCCGGAAGATGCTCGGCCCTCCTCAGCGTACTGTGTTTTACACACCGAATTCCCGGCCGTCGGGTTTTCGCTGTTTTTTGTCATAATGCTGCTCCCGCTGAAGCGCTGGCATCAATTTCGGGTTTCCGCTTGTTCCGAATCTTGCGCTGGCCTCATTTCTGCGCTTTCACCCGTTCCGAATCGTGTTCCCGCTGCAACGCTGGCCTTATTTCTGCCTTTCCGCTCGTTCCGAATCGTGCTCCCGCTGCAGCGCTGGCGTCATTAGTTCCAGTGCCATGTCATGGTATGCAATGCAATGCTGTGGTGATCCGCTGTGCGATGACATGCCTTCAGCTGCAAGGCTAGGATATGCAACGCTTGGTTATGCAGTACCCCGCCATGCTAGGCCACGCTACGCTTTGATCTTCAACGCAGTGCTATGCCATGTTCTGTTTTGTGTCGCTGTGCGATGCCTTTCTTTGCGTTGCAATGATTTGCGATGCAAATCTTCACTACGCAACGTCACACCATGCTATGACATCCTGCGTTATGCTGTGTTCTTCTATGCCCTGTCGTGCCGTGCTCTACGATGCATCGGGCACCCTCTCGCGATCATTGCCCTGCTCGACATTCGACTGTGCGAATGGAGAGGAGATATACGCCATGGCCAGGGATGGGGAGGGATAGAACGTCAGATATGAAGCGAGCGCACCTAGCTTGCCCCATTCCCCTCCCCCCCTCGTTCTTTTCCTCTGTTCCTCCTTCATTCCCCCTGCAGCATCGTTGGTCCGTCCTGGGCTTCATCTTGCCTCCCTCCCCGACCTCTTTTTCATATTCTCCACCTCACACCAACATTCACATCCTCACACTCACACTCACCATCATCAGCATCAGCATCATCATCAGCAACATCATCGACATCATCATCATCATCATCAGCATCATCATCACCATCATCATCATCACCATCACCATCATCATCATCATCATGAACATCAATATCATCAACCTCGTCATCATCATCGTCGCCGTCATCAGCATGATCATCAGCATACTAATCATCATCACCACCACCATCATCATCAACATCACCGACGGCATCATCACCATCACCATCATCACGATCACCATCATCATCATCATCATCATCAGCATCAGCAGCATCATCTACAGCATCAGCGTCAGCATCATCATGACCATCATCGTCATCATCGTCATCGTCATCATCAATATCAGCATCATCAACAGCACACACATCATCATCACCACCACTATCGTCATCATCGTCATCCTCATCATCAACATCATCATCATCATCAGCAGCAGCATCATCATCATCATTAACCCCATCATCTTCATCCTATTCCGCCTCACTCCTCACGCAACCCACATCTCAACTGGCAATCATGAATGTCGACGATTTCGGGGGAGATCGATGAGGTCATGGAAAGCGAGGAATTTGCGAATGGAGGAGGGAGGGATCAGGCAGCGTGTCGCGATCACCAAGAGCATGTCACACTGTTTCCCTTGCCTCCCTCCCTCCCTGCCCTCCCGTATCCCCTCCTTGGCCCTCTGCACGCGTCTCGTGCATCGTCGTGCGCCGCTGGCAGGGGAGAAGGGGCCGAAGAGGGAAGAAGGAAAGGAGAAGGGAGAGGACGACATGGGTGGAATGAGGGGAAGGACGGCAAAACCTATTATAATAACCTTTCATGACTACTTCGGCAGCAAGCGAGGGGGGACGTGAGAAGGAGACATCTCCGAAGGCGGCGGGACTTCTCAGGAAAACCCGCGCCTTCTGAGAAGTGTCCTGTGTCTTTGGGGAAAGCTAAGCCAACTTTCAGAAGGCCAGGGGACTTCCAAGCCTTCTGAGAAGGCCTTCTCTTTCTCACATCCCCCCGGGCTCGCCGCCGACTACTATAGGATACGATGACTATGGATTACCCCCAGTGCGCCTGCACTACCATGAGTAGCAACCCAGCCCCCCAGCTTATCATACACTCGCCACCGACTGAAAGGAAACTACACTTGATCGGTATAGCCTCAGCAACTCATCGAAGGTCGGTCCACTTGGAACTTTTGTTGAACACTCGCACTTTCACCGCCCCCACCCGCATCGCCCACAACCCCCGGAAACTCAAACTCGCTGTGACGCCGCCCTCTAGATGGGCAACACCTCGGCAGCAGACGGAATAACCGACTTTCTCAGGCGCTACGTTTGCGGGGGCGCGCGCGCCCGCAGAAGTCAACCGAATGCCAGGGAATGGAAATGAGTGTTGGCCTGCTAGCGACGAGGGGTGCAGCTCTAGGCAGGAACGCACGCAGTAAGTGGGGAACAGAACCGAGGGGAGGCAAACGAGGTGAAAGCGACAAGAGGGAGGGGATCCGCCTCTCTCTCATTATTGTTTTCCTCCTCGTCCACCTACTCCTCTTCTCTTCCGTTCCCCTCATCCTCTCTTTGCCCTCTTTAGTGTGCCAAGCAAACTGGATGTACGTAATTACCCTCAGAGGCTTGCACAAGCAATACCCGAATGAATTTCAAAACACATCTCCTCGATACTCCTGGGACCTCTTCTGTGACAAAAAGCACCCCGAAGCCTCCTCTTGAGCACCCGGGCAACGTAAGACTCTGATCCCGATCGGGCAGGTGGCCCGACAGGAGACCCCACTGCGCTCGCAACCGCAAGTGAATCGGAACCCACTTCGACAACAGTCGCAAATTGCACATACGACCCCGATCGCAACGCATGCTCAACCACCTCTCGGCTCCTGCTCATTGTGTCATGAAAAGCCACGACCTTACTATTGCTCGTGCTATTCCCCATGCTTATTCATCCAGACTGGTCCTGACGCATAATATCGTAGGAATGCGCAGATCAGCAATGACAAACAGGCCGAACTCCACTCTCAATAGCCCTAGCTTAACCAACCCACGCGGGGCCGAATGGCACAAGTATGCAGATGAAGTGCCAGGCATGGGCGCTTGTTCCGAGTGCACCACGAATTCTCGAGATTGCAGCTGCAAGAAACACGATGCGATGTTCCCCAGGAGTGGGGCTCCTTTCCGTGGAGTTCAGAAATCGGAGAGAGACATCGGGCCCGGCCCTTGGGCCGCACCCCCACGGACACGGGGCGTTTCTTCGCGGCTGCCCCGCGCGGAACGTACATCCGTGCGTCCACGTATCCGCGGGCTCGCGCCCCGGAATGCAGACCGCGAGGACGTGGACCCAGACCCCGATATATTTTTTCATAACGTCGACCCCTAAACACGTTTCGACCCATTCCCCAGGACCGGTTTGTCATCCTGGGTTGTGCTTTGGAGGTCCCGAGGCCAAGTGAAGGCCCACGGGGGGCCGAAAATGGCGACAAACCTCCCGCCGTGAGTTTTTTATGACGCGAGCAGTGCCCCGCCTCCTCCTCCTCCTCCTCCTCCTCCTCCTCCTCCTCCTCCCTCCCCTCCCTCTCACGCTGGTTCGCTCCGTCGGCCGCCGCGGCCCATGCCAGAAGAGCGCGGGGTGGGGTGGGGGGGGCGATTAAAACACTAGCTGGGGAGCAGTCGCAATCGCTGCCCGGACCGTGGGGTGGGTGGCGGGACCACCCCCCAGGGCGTTTCTTAATCACTTGCTCGCAGGACGAACACGTTCGCTGCCTTGTGCCGAGAGGGCGAGGGAAGCATCTTTTCGGAGGCAGGCAGGGGGCGCCCCCGAGGCGGGGCCGCTCGCGAGGCACCGCGCCTCTCTCCGGCGCCCGGCCCCCGCCGCCCTCGCGGCGCTATATGGCCGCCCCCGCGGGGCCCGCTAGCCCGGCACCGGGAAGTTGCCGGGCCCGGGCCGCTTCGGGCGGGCGCCCGCCCCGAGGAGGCGGCGCAGGGCGGGCCAGGGCCAGGGCGCCTCTGCGCGGGCGGAGGAGCGGTCCAAAAGGAGCTGCTCCGCCGCCGGGGGCGCCTGCCCCCTGGCGGCTGGAGAGCTTATCTCGGGGATGGGCAGACCTCCCTTCAGTAAAACGTGGTTGAGTGAAAACGACCTCGGGCCCAAACCTGGCGGGCGCAAGCCTGGAAAATGACGGCCGCGGCGCCCTCTCGAGAACCGAAAACGGACAATTCACTAATCGACGTGTCCATGTTGGGGGTTCTGTCCGCCTCCGATTATACCCTTGCCGTGGCGCGTCGGGGTATAAACTTTCCAGCCGCCCTGGAGCAGGCGTCCCCAACGGCGCGGGAACAACGATTCTAACTATACAGTTCTTCGCCCGCCAAATCTTGGGGGGCAGAAGACGGCCAACCTTTTCTCGAGGGCGCGCAAGCATGGATTGTAGCGAGTTCGGAAGCGGAAATCCGCGAGTTCCTATGGAAGCGGGACCCGTCGCTAATTCCCGTTGATGCATGTTTGCGAACGCTCGATTTTCGGAGATCTCCTGACCCGGGTCAGTCCAGACCCGGGTCAGTCAGGCTTTGCAGGATCCTTCAAGATCCTGCAGGATGCGGGGGGGCAGACAACTGACCCCCAGCGCCCCTGCCAAATAACAGTGCAGGACGATCGCAGGGCGCTCGCGTATGCACAAGATGTTGCCGTAACTTGCACTCTCGTGTTGTTTATGACATGGGTGGCCTGCAGGATCCTGCACCCAAACCAGGGTCAGTGCGACCCTGGGCCTGCGGGATCCTGCAAGAGCCAGCGTTCTGGCTGACCTCAATTTGCTGCAATTCCTGCAGGATCATGCACCCGAACCCGAGTCAGTGCGACCCTGGGCCTGCGGGATCCTGCAAGAGCCAGCGCTCTGGCTGACCTCCGTTTGCATTGACCACCGTCTCTTGAGCCAAGATCTGTTTATCCAATTGCACTGCCTGGCACGTCCGCCACCGCGCTCGGGGAAGCTGCGCAGCCAGGCCGCAGCTGTGCGCAAGCTTGGCGCTCAATGGTCCGTGCGCTGCCTACTACGGAGCTGAACAGGCTGCCTTTGCCAACGTTGCTCGCTGACGGCACCTCGGGGGGCAGAGGGTGACCCATTATTACTATTCACAATGCCGCCTGGGACTGGCCCCGACCCCTCCCCCCTCTCACCCTCCTGGTCGCGTCACGATTCGCGCCGGCGCCGTCTGGGAATGAGCCTTTCCTGAACACTCCCAGACGGCGCCAGCGCGAATCGTGACGTCACCGACCCCCTCTCCCTCCCCCCTTGGTCACGCCGGCTATCGCCAGGGAGTGAAAAGCTGTCTCCGCACACCTCATCAGAATTATTCCCCGCCGCTGCCCCCCCGCGGCCACCTGCCCAGAACCCCTCGGGTTCCGACCAAAATCAAGAGGCCTCTGGCCGTCTTCGGCTCCTGGGGCCTCGGGACTGTCAAAAAAAACGACTCGGGGTGAGAAACGGCTCCCAATCGAAGGCGTCGAGACCTGCGGGTGGCGACACTGTGACATAATCGTGACGTCGGGGGTGTAGGTGCGAGGCATCCAGGGCGACTGTGGGAGGAAGGGACTAGTTACTGATTAGCCTCTGCGCTCCACGCTCCCTCCATGATCACCTCGGGACGTGGATCTCCCTCGCCATCTTGGTGTGGCCAGGGGCACGTCCTTTCTCCAACGCCTTACCCCGAGATCCGACGTTGCGACAAAAATTGCACCATCGCGGAACATCACGACCGGACCCCCAGACCCCATCTCTCTGCGTCATTTTGCGAACCGGATCGATCTGTGAAGGTCCGGGGGGACGAAGCTGAGCGAGCACGCCCGGCTCGAAAGCTCGGAGGCGCCAGGATCTCAGAACAAGAGTGCGAGGAGGAGCAGGGGCGGGAGGCAGGCGGCGAGGCGCAGGACGCTGCCGAAGTGCGGCCCTGCGAGGCATGGGGAGGCGGCGAAGACGCATCGCGCTGCTGTATTGGAGGCCTCCCAGATGGAGTCGGAGGAGGAGGGGTCGGAGGATCGCGCCGAATCGCCGATGCATCGGCGATGTATCCGCGATGCACCAGCGATGACACGTCGATATCGGCGGTGCATGGGCGACGTCGACGAGGAGGAAGTCCGGCTCCACATCGAGCCGCATCGCCGATGCATCGGCAATGCGGCGCAATCCTCCGACCCATCTCCTCCGAACCCATCTAGGAGGCCCTAGGAGGAGGATTGAGGAGGATTGAGGATGAGCGAGGAGGAGGAGGAGCGAGGAGCGAGGAGCGAGGAGCGAGGAGGAGGAGGAGGAGGAGGAGGAGGAGGAGGAGGAGGAGAAGGAGTGAGGAGGAGGAGGAGGAGGAGGAGGAGGAGGAGGAGGAGGAGGAGGAGGAGGAGGAGGATGGGGAGGAGGGGGAGCGCGATTTAGATGCGGGGCGCGCTGCCCGAGCGCGACGCCAGGGCTTCCTCCGGGCCGCGGCGGGCGCCGGCCGCGAGAGCAGGCGCTCCCGGATCCCGAGCGCGGCGGCCTCGCGTGCCCGCTCGGGGCACCCCGGCGTGGAGGGCAGCCCCTCTGGCATGGCCCGAGGAAGGCCTCTCTTGCGGGGCCCCGATCGGGGAGGCGGAGGACTCGGGCGTGGCTCAATGGGGGGGTCACAACTGGGGGGGGTCAGGAAAGGTCCCCTTTCGTGCCCCGTTCGGGCCCATCCAGAGCCCCAGGGGGCTCGTTTAGGTACCGTTTGGGTACCTTTTCGAACCACCCTCGCCAACCCCTCATTTATGACCCTCCCATTACTCATCGGTCGGATGAAGTGGGTAGAAACATGAAGTAGGAAGGCGCTGAAAGTAGATTGGGTTCCGTCCGCCCCCAAAGGAGGAAGGAAGAGGTGAAGCCACTCGATCATTGAAGTAGGAAGGCGCTGAAAGTAGATTGGAATCTGGGAATCCAAAAATACCTACTTTCAACGACCGATGGGTACGCGGCGCCCAGAGGACTCGGGCCCCCCGCCGAAGTCCGGCTCCGCTCCCCAACTGGCCACGCCCTGCGTGCTGCCTCGTCTCCTGGCGGCTCCAGGGCACGGCCAGGACCCCCGACGAGTGCCGGGAAACAAGCGTCGGGGAGGCGTAGGACTCGGGTACAGGGGGACTCGGGTTGGCCTGACGGGGCCATCATGAAAATGACGAGGCCCAAGCTGAGATTCGACGCGAGCTCCCGCTGCAAACATCTCATCAAAAGCTGGACCGTCAAAATCCGGGACGCGCTCGTCAGAAAACGTCAGCAGACCCAAAGTCTACGCTTCTGGAACAAGCCCTCGCACCGCTATCCGGCACCGCTGGAGATACATGGGACAAAACCCTCAGTCCTCTTGCTCGGCGGCGCGCCAAAGGGGGGACGGCAGAGGGAGTGGCCCTTCTCGGGCCTTCCGCGGAGCTCGGAGGGATCCTGAGAAGCCCCGCCGCCGTCTGAGAGGGCCTGCCCCCCTCCACTTCCCTGGAGGAGCAACGCAGACTCGTGAACATGAGCTCTCGGAGGTCCGCGAGGACTCCTCGGATCGATGCTGGACCCCTCCTCCCTGGCGCGCGGAGCGCGCCGGGGGCGGCGACGGGGGTGCTGCCAGGGGGCCCAGCGCAGATCCAAGAAATTCGCGCGGACCTCCGGAAAGCTCACGTTCACGAGCTCGTGTGCTTCCCCCAAGGAAGTGGAGGGGGGCAGGCCTGCTCAGAAGGTGGCGGGGCTACCCAAGACCCGTCCGACCTTCCGAGAAGCGCTCGGTGGCGCCGGGGAGGGACAGAGGCCTCCCAGATGGGGTCCGAGCAGAAGGGGTCGGAAGATCGCGCCGTATCGCCGATGCATCGACGATGCGCCGGCAACGTCGGCGATGCCACCGGCGACGTCGGCGTGGAGAAAGTCGAGCTCCGCAGGTGGTATCGCCGATGCATCGGCGATGCGGCGCGACCCCATCTGCTCCGACCCCATCTAGGTAGACGAGAAAGGCTCAGCAGGCTGTTCTTCTGCTCCTCCTTCGGCCCCCCCTCAGCGCGTCGCCCTCCTGCTGCCCCCCCCCCAGATATCCCACGTCGTGAGCTTTTCCAGGCGAGGTCCCTGGAGGTCTGGACCAGTTCCCCAGGGCCGGCTCTTCATCCCGAATCAAATTCTAACGGTCCCAGGGCCCAGCGATGCCCCCAACAGGCCGAAAACTACGAGAAACCTCCGTCTCGAATTTCTCGAGATGTAGGAGACCTGTGGTGGGCTTGCTGTCCACCACCACCACCATACGTTGAAGGGGGAGGGGGTCCTCCTCCTCCTCCTCCTCCTCCTCCTCCTCCTCCTCCTCCTCCCCTCCCTCCTCCTCCTCCTCCACTCCTCCTCCTCCTCGCTCCTCGCTCCTCCTCCTTCCTCCTCCTCCTCCTCCTCCTCACCTCCTCCCATTCCTCCTCCTCCTCCTCCTCCTCCTCCTCCTCCTCCTCCTCCTCCTCCTCCTCCTCCTCCTCCTCCCCCTCCAACCCATGGTGGTGGGGGTGGAAAACCGGCCCATCAGCCTGGGCCCGCCCCCTCCCGGGCACGGCCTGCGGCGCCCGCAGCGCCCAGCGCTGGAGGAGGCCCGGAGCCAGCGGCAGCGCCGCCGGCGCGCCGCCGAGCAGCGAGGGGCAGTCGCTGGCCTGCGAGGGGCGAGGGGGGGGGAAAGGATGATGATGATGATGATGATGATGATGATGATGATGATGATGATGATGATGATGATGATGATGATGATGATGATGATGATGATGATGATGATGATGATGATGATGATGATGATGATGATGGTCGATGATGATGATGATGATGATGATGATGTGATGATGGTGGTGGTGATGATGATGATGATAGATGGATGATGATGATGATGAGAGGAGGAGGAGGAGGAGGAGAGGAGGAGGAGGGGGAATATGAGGAGGAGGAGGCGGAGGAGGAAGAGGAGGAGGAGGAGGAGGAGGGGAGAAAGGAGGAGGAGGAGGAGGAGTGGGAGGAGGAGGAGGAGGAGGGAGGAGGAGGAGGCAGGAGGAGGAGGAGGGAGGAGGAGGAGGAGGAGGAGGAGGAGGAGGAGGGGAGGAGGAGGAGGAGGAGGAGGAGGAGGAGGAGGAGGAGAGGAGGAGGGAGAGAAGGAGGAGGAGGAGGAGGAGGAGGAGGAGGAGGAGGCGGAGGAGGAGGAGGAGGAGGGGGAGGAGGAGGAGGAGGAGGAGAAGGAGGAGTGAGGAGTGAGGAGTGAGGAGTGAGGAGTGAGGAGGAGGAGGAGGAGGAGGAGGAGGAGGAGGAGGAGGAGGAGGAGAAGAAGGAGGAGGAGGAGGAGAAGGAGGAGGACCCCGATGATGTCGTGGAGCGCTGGAAAGGGATGCTTTCTAGCCTCCGGAACACGAGAAGTAACTCGGAGTATATGGATAACTACCCGGTCTGGGCTCATAGTAGCCATTCAGCTCACCAAATGCACCCCGAGAGACAACCTCGGGCTATGCCCGACAACTGCCCTCCGATGACCATCGCATGTGTGTGGGGGGACAACACTTGCTGCCGCCAACTTCCGCCGGCGAGAGCCGACCTCGTGTAGCTTCCACCGGGTACCGCTGCCCTGCCATCTGCTCCCGCCGAAGGCGGATCCCCTGAATGGGGATGCGAAAATATCTCTCGATCCCCTGAATGGGGAAAAGAAAACAAATTATCGATCCCATGAGTGGGGATGCGCAAAAAGATACTGATGCCGTCACTCGCGGGACCTCTCCAGGGGTGCGCCCCGAATAAAGATCCGAGGCGCACCCCAGCCATCGAAACGAGGGACGGGCTGCAGGATCGGCAGCGGTTCCTCCTCCGATCGAAGGCGAGACGCACCACACATGCCAAGACATCCGACGTCTCGATTGCCTCAGTTAGGGGCCACTGGAAATCCCGACCTTTCCCGGGGGTCGATTTTGCATCCCGAGGCGCTTCTCGACAGTCCTGGGGCCCAACGAGGGCCCCCAGCCGCCGAAGTCTGTAATTAAACGTCCGTCTTGACTTTGTCCAGTACGTTGGAGATCTGAGGTGGCGACACCCAGGCCCTTCCCCCACCAACCATCGATTCTCCTGAGGAGGGAGCAGGGTTCGGACTTCGCCACGTGCTCGACGCACTCCGAACCCCACCCCGCGCCGCCCATCGAGTCGCCAGAGTCGCTGATCGGCGGAGGCAGGCCTCGGACCTCGCCGCCGAAGCTTGGCGTTGAACGCCCGAAATGGGCACGGAAGGAATGGGCACAGTGCCCAACAACAAACGTTGCCCCAAACCAAGCAGCGGCCGCTGTTGGGCAGGCGGCCTTCTGCCTCGAATGGGCACGGGCCGCGGCGGCGTGGGCAGCGAGTCCTGTTCAGGATATGAGCAAGAACTGCTGTTGGGCGTTGTACCCATTCTTTCCGTGCCCCTTTCGGGCGTCCATCCTCCTGCTGGATTCTCGCAGCCGAACTTGACCACTGACCCGGGGGCCGGCTTCTCGCCCGGGGCCAGGAAATACGGCCCCCGGAGGCCGAAGGCTGCGAACAAATGGGGGGAGGAGGAGGGGGAGGAGGGGGAGGAGGAGGGGGAGGAGGCGGGGGAGGAGGAGGAGGAGGGGGAGGAGGAGGAGGAGGGGGGGAGGAGGAGGAGGAGGAGGGGAGGAGGAGGAGGAGGAGGAGGAGTGGCGGGCGTCCAGATTGGCGGGGTTGCCGCCCTCCGACGGCCATCACGTGCCCGCACAGCGGGTCCGCGGCGGCGCGGCGCTCGGGCGACGACGGCGGCCGCCAGGGCCGCAGCCGCAGGGCGCCGCCCGCCTCGCGCGCCACCTCTGAGCAGGGACCGACCGTCCCGGCATTCCTACAGTCCTACCACGAAATGTTCTTAGAACCCAAACATGTTCTAAGAACAAAAAGAAATGTTCTTAGAACATAAGCCCGATGTGATAAGAGAAGACGGTCCCAACCAGAACTGTTCTGAGAACATCTCTTGGGAACCACGAAAGGTCCTTAGAACATTGTTTTGGTAGGATTATAGGCACGCCAGGACGCTTCGCCACTGCTTGACACCTCGCCCACGAGCGTGGCCTCGGCGCCGACCGCCAGGGCGCACTCCCGGAACTGCAGGGGGCCCCCCGCCGAGCCAAGGTCCTGACGGCGGCTGGGGGGGGGGCGCCGCGGCGCCTCCTCCCACCCTCCTCGTCCTCCTCCTCCTCCTCCTCCTCCTCCTCCTCCTCCATCCTCCTCACCATCCTCCTCCTCCTCCGCATACCTCCTACGCCTCCTCTCATCCCCTCCTCCCTCGCTCCTCATCATCCTCCCCTTACTCACTCTCCTCCTCCTCAATACGTCCTCCTCATCCTCCTCTACTCCTCCTCGCTCCTCATTCGCGTCATCCTTAATCATTCCGCCGACTCCCTCTCCTACTCCTCCTCCACTACCCCCCAGTCACCGCCGAACGCCTTCCGCCTACCCTGTCATCCTCCTCACCCTCTCCTCCTCCTCCTCATCCTGCCGCTGCCTCCTCCTCCTCCTCCCTCCTGCTCCTCTTTCCGCGCTGTTCAGGATCGCTCTCTGTCCTCTTCCTCCTCTCCTCCTACGGCTCCTCCTCCTCTTCCTCCTCCTCGCTCCTCATCCCTCCTCCTCCCTCCTCCTCCTCCTCCTCCTCCTCCTCCTCCTCCTCCCTCCTTCCTCCTCCTCCTCCTCCTCATCGCTCCTCCTTCTGCTCGCTCCTCCTTCTGCTCGCTCCTCCTGCTCGCTCCTCCTGCTCGCTCCTCCTCCTCCTCCTCCTCCTCCTCCTCCTCCTCCTCCTCCTCCTCCTCCTCCACCCGGAGGTGCCCCCTCCGGCACCGGGTCGGGCGAGGAGAGGGAGGGGGGAGCAGAGGAGATTCGGGGGGCCCCTTCCCCGGCGCGCGGAGCGCGCCCCGGGGTAGTGCCGCCGGGGGGTCCCAGCGCGGACCCAAGAGATCCGCGCGGAGCGCCAGTTCAGTTTTGTACTCGGCCCGGGACCGAAACCGACCGACCTGAACCCGCAAAAATGACGGCCGCGACGCCCTCTCGCGAATCGAAAACGGCTAATTCCTTCATCGACGTGTCAGGGTAGGAGGTCTATCCACCTCCGATGTACCGTCTCTTCCCCCTCGACCGTCGTGATTCTTTCGTGGTCCGAGGGCGTCTGGGGGCGAGGGGGGCGGGCGAGGAGGGCGAGCGACAGGGCGGGTCCTCGCAGCTGTCGAAGTGGGCGGCCGGGCCCGCGACGGGCACCAGGCGGTCCAGCACGAACCGCCGCCAGGACTCTGGGGCGCCCGCGAAGGGCACCTCGTGGACCTCTCTCGGCGGAGCTGGCTCGACGACGACGACGACGACGACGACGGCGACGACGACGACGACGACGACGACGACGACGACGACGACGACGACGACGATTCCGATGACGGCAGCCCGGCCCTGCGCGGGGGCGCGCGGGCGCTCTGGGTATCGTTTCTGGCTCAATCGCCGGCTTCTCGTGTGAGGCCTCAACGAGGCGCCGAATACAGCGTGCCTGAGCATCGGTCGTGGATGAAGATCTGGGGCTCCGCAAGCACCGCACAGGATGTCAGACAGACGTCCTTTCACGGACAAAAAATATAGGATGGTTTGCAGGTGCGCGCAAGGCAACTGCCACATGTCGCGCTGCGATGGCCCCTGAACAGAAGGCCACCGCTGGCCTCAACGCAGCCAACTTGCTGCCAGAATGCGCGCGCCGCTGCGTCTGCAACAGGAACGCGCTCGCGCGTTCATTGCCGCCTGGTCTCGTCAACGCTGCCGCTGGCTCAATGGACGCTCGTGACAGATGGCGCGTGCAGAGCGACTGCCGCTGGAGGCATGCCACAAGCGCTGTGCATGCGCCAGAAACCGACGGCCCGTGGTGGGGATCGCGCGGGTCTCGCGCCTGGCTCCCTCGGACATCGCGCGGGGCTCGCGCCAGGCCTGCGTCGGGCTTCGCCGGACTCGTGCGGGGCTACCGCGAGCCCACCGCAAGCCCCGCGTGAGGAGGAGGAGGAGGAGGAGGAGGAGGAGGAGGAGGAGGAGGAGGAGGAGGAGGAGGAGGAGGAGGGAGGAGGAGGCCACGCGAGTCCCGCGCCGACCCCGCGCGAGCCCCACGCGCGCCCCGCACACGAGCCCCACGCGTGCCCCACGCAGGCCCCACGCGAGCCTCCCGCGAGCCTTCGAGTGCCCCCCTCGGGAGCCCCGAAGGGGCTCCGAGGAGCCGTCGAGAACCCCTCACGAGGCGCCCAGAAAGCCCCCCAAGCACGCCTGAGAGCCTCCCAATAGTATGCCCCGACACTCTGCGGCGGGGCGCGTCATCTCACGATGACCGTGACGCTGCGATGGACTACTCTCTTGAGACGGTGCTTGCACTGAGGAGTCGCACCTCTCCCGCACAAATCATGAGCTTGCCGTCGCTCGGACGTCCATTTCCCGTCGGTTTCGCGCGTGTTTTCTTTGCTCGATGGTCCAGGATGGTCCTCGATGGCTCTCGCCAAGAAAAAAGCACACGTCCGAGCGAGGCCAAGTGGGATGGGCACGGCAGGGCTCCGCCCGGGGGGCTCCCCCGCAAGCACCTCGTGGGCGCCGCGCACGCTGGCTTCTGGCACGGCGGGGCCTCGCCTGGCGTAGCGCCCCGCGGGGCGCCTTTTCTGCGCTGGGCCGGGCGCGGCGAGGTCCCGCCCGGTCGGCGCCTCGCGGGCGCCCCGCGGGCGCCGCGCGCGCAGGGCGGGGTGGCAGGGCTTCGCCCGGCGGCCGCGTGGGCTCCCCGCGGGCGCCCACGGAGCTTGCGCCACACTGGGGGGCACCACGTGGCCGTCACCCCACGTGACTACCTACCAGACCACCCCAACCCAACCCGAAGACCCGAATTTCGGGTTGGGGGGGGGACGGGTTCCATATGTGTTTTCTCGATGTTCCCCGACCCCCCCCCACTGGAAATGGATGTCAATGTGAGGCCTTCGGGTTGGGTTGGGGTGGTTTGGTGGGTGGTGACCACGGGTCTCGCCGCATCGCTGGCACCACGCATCGAACTGGACCCCGGAAGTGGGCGGTGCGCAGGGGGTTGGTGTGGGGGGGGAGGGGAAGGCTTCTCAGAAGGAGGCTGCGTCTGAGAAGGTGCCAGCGGTACATCTGTAGATAACGGCCCGCGCCTTCGAGGAAGCAGAGGTGCTTCTAGGAAGCCTTCCCCCCTCCCCCTACGCCCCCCTCTGCGCATGGCTGGCAGGACGTCCCGACCCATTCCCTGGGGCCGGCTCTTCATCATCCCAAGTCGTCTTTGCACACCCTCGGGGCACAGCAAGGGCCCCTGGAGGCCGAGATTTGCCGACACCCCCGGTCGCTGGCTTTCCATGCTCTCTCGGCTACACGCAAGCGCGACCCCAAGCAAGAGTGACCCTTGGTGCGCGGAGTACGGGGGCGCAAAGTGGCCACGTCCAAGCGCGCACGCAGCCGCTACCGCATCGTGCTCAGCGATCGGCGTGGTCCCGAGGAGCCCGCACCAAAGGCCGCTCCGGCGAAGGGTCCCTCTCGACGTGTGGTCGAAATCGCGAGGGGGTATGCGATCAGTTTGGACGCCCGAAATGGGTACCGAAAGAATGGGTACCATGCCCAACAGCAAATGTTGTCCCAAACCAACAGCGGCCGCTGTTGGGCAGGCGGCCTCCTGTCTCGAATGGACACAAGCCGCCGCCGCGTGGACAGCGAGCCCTGTTCAAAATGAACAAGATCCGCTGTTGGGCATTGTACCCATTCTTTCAGTACCCATTTCGTGCGTGCAGAATCAGGCTCCCCTTCCCCCCCTGGACACCTCGAGGCCCCCGGCCATGCTGAAGAGCGCGACGTCGTGGCCGCGCACGGCGACGCTGAGGCGCGGCGCGTCGCTGAGCTGGACCTCCGAGGAGCAACGGCAGGGGGGGGGGAGCTGGCTCTCAAGGGGGGGAAAGCATCGGCCCGGAATTCGGCGGATGTACCGTCGATCGTAGGACGGGCATGATCTCCTGATTGGCTCAAGATCTGTTCCAAGACTTCCACTGGCGGTCCTCGTTTCTGCAAGCCGTGCTGGACACAAAGGACCCCCGGCAAAACCTTGGAACGTGTCATTATCCGGTAAATCCTGGAGATCCGGCAAATCCTGGAATCCGGTAAATCCTGGAAATCATTCTTATGACCTCCTTGGCTCCTCTGAGACAGATCGGCGATAGGCCCCCGACAGCCCATCCGCACTTTCGTGGGCAGGGTGGGCCATCGGGCCCCTCCTTATCGGCGATGCATGGGCGATTGGGGGTCGATGCCCCCCCCCCAGAGCGTCTGCCCCCCCACGCGTTGCCCCTGTCGGGGACGCACTGACCCGGGTCAATGCAAACCCGGGTCAGTCAGGCGATGCATGATTCTGCAAGATCCTGCAAGATCCTGCAGGATCCTGCCAGACCCTGCGCCCAAACATGGGCCAACGCACCCCTGACTCTGCAGGATACTGCAGGAGCCGGCGCTCTGGCTGACCCCCGCTTGCATGGACCCCCCTCGGCGGTGGACAAACCTACCTTTAGTAGACCTCCCCTTAGCGAAAACGGCCCGGGACCGAAACCGACGGACCTGGACCCGCAGAAAGGACGGCCGCGACGCCCTCCCGCGAACCGAAAACGGCCAATTCCTTCATCGACGTGCCAGGGTAGGAGGTCTATCCACCTCCGATGTACCGTCTCTTCCCCCTCGACCGTCGTGATTCTTTCGTGGTCCCGAGGGCGTCTGGGGGCGAGGGGGGCGGGCGAGGAGGGCGAGCGACGGGGCGGGTCCTCGCAGCTGTCGAAGTGGGCGGCCGGGCCCGCGACGGGCACCAGGCCATCCCCGACCTCCCGCCTCTGGAGCCCCAACCCCCGGGACCTCGAAGTCCCGCCCGGCGGCGTGGAAGGCCAGGGGCGGCGGCTGGATCCCGTCGTGGCGGCCGCGCGAGACGCACGCGGAGCACGTCACGCAGGCGCGCTGGGAGAACGGGGCCTGCCGGCGGCCACCCGGGCGGGGGGCGGGCGGGAGGAGGAGAGAGGAGGAGGGAGGAGGAAGGAGGAGGGAGGGGGAGGGAGGGGGAGGGAGGAGGAGGGAGGAGGAGGGAGGAGGAGGGAGGAGGAGGGGGGGATAGAGGAGGGGGAGGAGGAAAGGAGGAGGGAGGAGAGAGGGAAAGGTGGAGGGAGGAAGGAGGGCGGAGGAGGGAGGAGGGAGGAGGAGAGGGAGGAGGGGGAGGGGCGGGGTGCCCGATGCCCGCCCGGCGGAGTGTGCAACTGCTCTGTCGGCCGCCCTGGGCCTCGGGGGCCAGCGTGCTCTGGGACTGCCCCCCGAGGCGGCTAGGGGATGGAAAGTCCCTCCCCTCCTCCACATCCTCCTCCTCTTCCTCTCCGTCACCTTCTTTCTCCTCCTCCTCCCTCTCCATCTCCTTCTCCTTATTCTTCTTCTTCTTCCTCGTCCTCCTCGTCCTCCTCCTCCCCCTCCTCCTCTCCCTCCTCCTCCCTCCTCCTCCTCCCTCCTCCTCCCTCCTCCTACCTCCCTCCTCCCTCCTCCTCCCTCCTCCCCCTCCTCCTCCTCACCTTCTCCTCCTCCTCCTCCTCCTCCTCCTACCTCCGCCTCCTCCGCCTCCGCCTCCGCCTCCGCCTCCGCCTCCGCCTCCGCCTCCGCCACCGCCTACGCCTCCGCCTCCGCCTTCGCCTCCGCCTCCGTCCGCCTCCGCCTCCGCCTCCGCCTCCGCCTCCGCCTCCGCCTCCGCCTCCAGCCTCCGCCTCCGCCTCCGCCTCCGCTTCTCCTCCCGCCTCCTCCTCGCCTCCTCCTCCTCCTCCCCTCCTCCCCCTCCCCCTCCTCCTCCTCCTCCGCCTCCTCCGCCCCTCCTCCTCCTCCTCCTCCTCCTCCTCCGCCTCCTCCTCCTCCTCCACCTCCTCTCCTCCTCCTCCTCCTCCTCCTCCTCCTCCTCCTCCTCCTCTCCTCCTCCTCCTCCTCCTCCTCCTCCTCCTCCTCCTCCTCCTCCACCTCCTCCTCCTCCTCCTCCTCCTCCTCCTCCTCCTCCTCCTCCTCCCCCCTCTCCTTCTCCTCCTCCTGGCCCTGGGTGGGGCGGGTGGGAGGTGGGAGGTGGCCTCAATGTTTCTGCAGGGATGGGCCCCAAAGGGTCCTTTAATATGGGGCCTTATTGGACACCCAGCCCGCCCGACTGTGTAGAGGGTTGGAACTTCCGGGGTGCACGTCCGCAGGGCTGCGCAGTGGCCCTGCCGAGGTGTAGATCCCTCTGGACTGCTTCAGACCTCGATTGGAATCTGGGCTCAAGATGCCCTCCTGGAGCGTCATTTGAAAGGGGAGCACCGCGAGGCCTTGGCCAACATCGCACTGACCGATCGGACACCCCAAAGAGCCGTGCACCACGAGCCACGAATGTGGACCCGAAGTGGGTATGGAAAACAGGAGTAAGATGCACAAGAACAAGTCTTGTCCAACACCTACAGCGGCCGCTGTTGAGCAGGCGGCCTTGCGTCAAATGGACAAGGGCCGCGGCGGCACCGACAGCAACTCCTGTTCAAAATGGTCAGGACATTAGCAGCCTCCTAGATGGGGTCTGAGTAGATGGGGTCGGAGGATCGCGCCGCATCGACGATGCATTGGTGACGTCGACGTGAAGCAAATCGGGCCCTGCATCGAGCCGCATCGGCGATGCATCGGCAGGAAGCCTAGAGAATGCTGTCGGTCCTTGTGTCCATTCTTTCCGTACCATTTCGATCGTCCTGAAGCCCAAAGGAGAAGGCCACTGCAATCGAAGAGACAAAAGAGGGCACCGCGAGGTCCCGGCCAGGAGGCAAGCGGGGCCCGCCATCGATGCCAAGAGGCAAGCCGAGGAGAGTGCCGCGAGGCCCCGTCCACAGGGGGAAACTGCTCCATCCCGCTCCTCTACAGCTTCCCCTTGCTTCGTCTTCCTCCTCCTCCTCCTCCTCTCCCTCGTCCTCGTCCTCGTCCTCGTTCTCCTCCTCGCCCTCCTCTTCCTCGTCCTCGTCCTTGTCCTCGTCATCGTCGTCGTCGTCGTCCTCCTCCTCCTCCTCTTCCACGTTCCTCCTCCTCCACCTCCTCCTCCTGCTCCTTGTCCTCCTTCCTCCTCCTCGTTCCTCCTGGTTCTTGGTTCCGACAGGCATGGAGATCCAGCTGATGTTGCCCGCCCCCCCCAAGGCTGGTCGGCCCTGGGGGGGTGATGCAACGACCAGCCAAGCAACTCCTGGAACATTCGCTCCAGGAGTCGCCGGCTGGCGTGGCATATAAGCTACACGTAAGGCGACAAACAGACGCAAGGGGGGCAACCATATGAAGTTTACAGTAGATGGACGAGAGGCACGGCGGCGATACAGGTTCGCTGTCGCCAAAATGGAAAACTCAAAGGGCGTCTCCCACTGCTCAAAGGACCCATACAGGCGACCCCGGACCAAAACACGGGCAGCATCGCCTGCAAACATGCGCGGGGGGCCCCTGTACGTTGGCCTGGGTGCCGCTTGGGGGGTGTCCACCGAACGTGGGGGAGCTTTGAGCCTTCCACGGCGGTAGATTCCCAAGGTAAGAATCAAGACACAAGTGATGGGTTGGGGCGGCGGCAAACGTGGCAGCCGACTGTTGGGGCAACTGCGGAAGTTGTACAGGCGGCGAATGGCTTTGGTGCGGCGATGGCCACACTGTCCAGGGCGGCCAGGGGTGCCTGCAAGTTCTCCTCACGGCCCGTCCCGACGAGAACCCCGCCGGCACACGCCCAGTAAAGAAGCAGCAGGTCTGGCCTGTTCACTGCGGCAGCTGGGCATGTGACTGGGAGTGGATTTCTGCACCCATCGCCGTTGCTTCTGAAGGTCGCTGCTCTGGTGGCAAGCCCTCGCCATGAGCGCAATCAGTAAGGTGCGAGGCTGCGGGGGTCACTGGTAACTGCTATGCATGCGTAAATTGGGGGGAGGGGGCGGTTTTCCTATATCCTATATAGCTACGCTGAGGCGTTGAGACAAGGGGAGTTCTGGGGTCCCGGCAAATATGGTTGCAAATGCAACTGCGGACAGTGGCGCGAGGCCGCAATGTGTCTGCAATCTCTCCCCGCCCGTGTCCCCCCAACCCCAGCGTCATACGCGGCGGGGAGTGTATATATATATATATATATATAGCAGCGCTGAGGATGAAAGATGGCGGGAAAAGCTGGCCTGTTTGGTGCGGCAGTTGGCCGAATGACTCGAGAGTGGCTTGCTGCATCTAGCGCCGTTGCATCTGAGGGCGGCCGCCTGGGCGTCGGGTCCTCGACATGAGGCGCAACGAGGTGCGATGATGACAAGAATAGGTAGTAAGGGACAGAATGCACCGCTGGTTCCTCTGCTCTGCATGATGTTGATGTAGCCCAGGGCGATCTGCGTTCTGCAATCCGTGTTGCTGTTGGGTCGTGCTCCACACTGAACATTGCTTAGTAGGGTCGCGGTGACCTGCTTTAACTTATCCGGAGATAATTGTGGTGGTGCTCGGCAACCACGTTGTTCAGTAAGACCATCCTCCCGTCTCCGAATTGTTTACTGGTGATCGCGTTCTTGGCGAATGATGTCTGCCACCCGCCTTTGTGAGATCGGGCTTCGACGATGGGCGGCTGCGATTTGCCAATCAGCGAATGGCATTGTCGGGCAATATCCGTGCTGGCGCTTCGGCGCATACCGTCGGTGATATTGTCTGGACCTCCTTGCCCGTTGGGTGCGTTCTGGAAACTGGCGGCCAACTCGTATTTGGTGGCAGTGCGGGAGATGGGGTGCCCACTTTGACGCGATGCCTGATGGCCTCATTCGCGTGCTCGTTGTAGCTCTTGGCGGTGTCGCCCGGATTGCGAATCTCCGCGTGGTCGGTGATGGCGAAGTGGTGTAGCTCGGCCTCTGCCTGAACTTGGTCACGTGCAATGGTCTCGCCGCGGGCGTCGACAGTGAAGAGGCGCTCCGTCATCATCCGTGGGGGCGTCCGCCGAGTCGCAATCTGTGTTCCCCTATTTCATTCCGATGTTGAATCCTTGCTGTCGTTCGCGTCCTCGATGTTGCCAGCATAGTTCTTGAGGAATTCGTCCTGGTCGGCACGTGTCCTCGCAATGTGCTTGTCGGAAGGCTTTGGTTGCCAAATGCAGCTCTTCCTGCCTCGGGTGGCGTACCGCTCGCATTCCTGTGCGGTCGAAGTTTGCGAGCGCAATGGGGTCTTGCATGGCGTGTTTACCAAAAGGTATGCCGCTACCCCCCCGACCTTTCCCGGGGTGCGCTCTGACCAGGATTTCGAGGTGAGTCCAGCGGTGGCGACGAGGGCCTCCAAGGAGGCCCCAAAAAATTGAGAAAACGGGCGAGGGGGTAGAAATATGGGTACCTTCTCCTTCTCTGACCGGCGAACTGGCGGACCCCCGTTTGCATTGACCACCGTCTCTTGAGCCCCGGCCCCCTTTCCCAATCCGCGTTCGGCTCGAGCAGGGACCGACCGTCCCGGCATTCCTATGGTCCTACCACGACATGTTCTGAGAAACCAAACATGTTCTAAGAACAAAAACAATGTTCTGAGAACACAAACCCGATGCGTCAAAAACAAGACAGTCCCAGACAGACAAGTTCTAAGAACATTCCCTGGAAACCACAAAAGGTTCTTAGAACATTGTTTCGGGGGCGGCCAATGAGGGGGGTGTCCAAGAGGGGGGGGTGCAAATCATGGCTGGCGGCATGTGCGCGGCCCCAGCGGGGGGGCCAGGGACGTAATGCAACAAGAAGAGGCGCCATGAGATCTGGGGAAAAATCCTGGCCTCCGCCATGATATCCCCCCCCCCTAGTCATCACCCCCCTCTTTTCCGCCCCCGATTGTTTGGTAGGGCTATAGGCACGCCGGGACGCTGCGCCACTGCTTGATCGTCGGCCCGGCCCGCCCCCGCCGGGGCCTGCAGCGGGCCCTCCGCTCCGGCCACGACGCGCCCCCGGATGCGCATGAGGATGCCGGGGGAGAGCGCCTGCTCGGGAGGGGGGAGCGACGAGGGGAGGAGGCGAGAGGAGGGGGGGGAGGAGCGAGAGGAGGGGAGAGGGGGGGGGAGAGCGAGAGGAGGGGGAGAGGAGGGGGGGAAGGGGGGGGGAGGGGAGAGGAGGGGGGGGGCGAGGGTGGACGGGGGGGGAGACAGGGCAAGGACACTCCCGATCGACTGGCGGTGTCGCACTCCGCACAGGAAGGGTATCGAGAGAAGTGCGCCTTGCCCGGCCCGAGCTTGGCTGGGTCTGCAGTGCTCGCCAGGCCGAGTGGCGACCTTCGACGATCTCCCTGCCGGGGGATGCCACTGGCCAACTCCGAGGACCTCTGAAAGGGAGGGGGAGGAAAGGAGGGGGAGTGAGGACAGAGGGAGATTGCAAGCTAGGTACGACCGCGCCGTGTCTGATATCTCACTCCTCGCACGCATCCTTTACCATTGCGATGCATTATTTTCTGTCCGTCGGGTGGGCCGGCCTAGATTGCCTTGACCCTCAACACGACCCGATCTTGGGATGCGCAATCAGGAAGGGGAGCTTTCTACATTGGACGAGGAGGGGGTGGCGGATGAGCAGGAAGCAGAGCCGTACATTGAGGGAGGGCGAGGAGCAGCGTCAGCAAGAGCAGGAGTAGGACGAGCATTGCCATCAACGACAAGCCGCAGCCCACGTACACCCGACTCGGTATCGGGAATTGCGGCACTCGCTTGAGAGCCCCGGGATGCGACGAAAAGGCGGAGTCGCCGCCACGAGCCGCAGCTCACAGGCATCCTCCGAATCCGCCTACAGGGGGGGAAGAGGAAGCTCAGGAGGCAAAGATGGGTCCTTCTCCTCCTCCTCCTCCTCCTCCTCAGATAAAGCCCATGGGCCGACGTCCACCGTGACGCTGAGCACCTTGGGGTGGCGACCTTGACATATGCGCTTCCAGGCATGTCTCCTCCCCTGCGCACCGAAGCGATGGAGCGGTGCACAACCCCTGCGCAATCCATGAAACTGCCCACCACAAGTGTAGCACTTGCAAGCGATGCAGACAACAACGAAGCTGCCGTCGGACGCATCGAGATGAAGCACCTTGTGCCCCAATGCCAATCGCCTAGGAGCATCATTGCCTCGAATCCCGACGTCGACTCGCCCACGGCAAACTCCAAGAGCAGGTCAGTAGGACGAGCAGGGTGACCCAGGGACGCTGGAGGAATGCAACCGAGGGTGGCGGCAACGACGAGAAATGAAGCGGATTCAACAATCTGCGGCCCGCCATGGGGCGGGAGCACAACTGTGAACGACGGGAGCAAAGCGCCGATCCTGAAATGCGGCCGACGCTGCAAGCATAGCATAATTGTTGGGAGGCCGAAAACGGCCCGAATGAGAACACCACCTCTGGTACCATACGCTTGTGGCATCGCGCATGGGGAAACAATATTTGGGGCGGGGGTGCCCCCGCACAATGCAGCATCAGGGGGGGGAGAGCAGTAGCACGCATATTGTGTAGTGACAGTGTTGTGTGTTGTGGAATCGTGGAGGGTGGGGAAGGCTGAAAGGAAGGCGTGAGGGAGGAAGGGGAAGGACGACATAAGTGGTGACGGAGCGAGGAAGGGAGGGAGGGGGAAAGGGGAGAGGAATATAGAGGGAGGCAGACAAGAGGAGGGAGGGAGGGGAGGGGTCAGAGAGGGGAGAGATGGTGGAGAGGGGTGGTTGAGGGAGGTGGGAGGGAAGCGAGGAAGAGGGAGGGAGGTGGAAGGTGGAAGATGGGAGTGAGGGGTGAGCAGGAGGAGGCAGAGGCGGCGGAGGAGGAGAAAGCATAGGAGCTTGCGGAGAAAACGGAGGATGAGGCAACAGAGGGGATGAAGGAAAAGGGAAAACCGCAGAACAGGGAGGGAGGGCGGGGAGGGGGGAGGGAGGGAAGAGACAGGTGGACGTGGGGCTGAGGGAGGTGGTAGGGAAGCAGAGGGAAGGGGGATGGAGGTGGACGGCGAAGCAGGGAGGGAGGAGTGAACAAAAGGAGGCAGTGCAGGGTGCGGAAGAGGAATGGGAGGAGCTCGCGGAGGAAAGGGATGATGAGGCAAACGAGGGGACGGAGGGAGGGCGGATAGGCGTGGAGGATGGAGGGGAGGAATGAGGAGGAACAGCAGGAGCAGCAGCAGCAGGGCAAGCAACAGCAGGCGACGGGAGGAAGAAGGAACGGGGGGAGGGACGAGGGGTGGAGGGAGAAGGGATGAGTGGGGAAGGAGGAGGCGGAGGACGGATGGAGAGGGAGAAGGGAGCGGATAGGGAGGGAGGGAGTGAGGAGGTAGTGGAGAAATGCGCATGGGAAGGAGAGAGGATGGGAGGGAGGAAGCATGCCAGAAGCGGTGGATTCCTGGATGGAGGAGGGCGAAAAGAGGAGCGGGACGGCGCGGATCAGGGAGGGAGGGGATGTTGACAATTATGTTCCTGGCATCCGCAGCTGACAGGCAACCTCGGAGCCATGCAAGAGTAACATGAAGATCGATCAAGCCTATACGCGATCGATGATCGATTCGACGTGGGATGACGATCGTGAAGAGCTCACGTGGGGGACACCTCCTCGTCAAACGCCCCGCCCTAACCCACGAGAAATCGAGCAGCGTCATTATCGAGTCAAGGAAAAGACACTTCCCTCTGATCCCCTCCCCGCATGGGGAATGGGGAGGTTGGGGCGCGGGGCCCTGGGGGGTCGTTACCCCCCTCCCCCGTGGGAGAGCACCCCTGCCTCGGAGACGCTTTCCACTTCGACTGCCGGCAGTCGATCCCTGGCCTCCCGGACGCCTCGGCGAGCTCCCCCTCCATGGTCGGCGGCACCGGTCGTGAGGCCTTCTCAATAAGCCCCATGTTCAACTCTGGATCGCCATCATGCATTACGGCTGCTGCCTTTTACCACGCCACCCCCATTGTTTCCATAAGAGAAACCCAGAATTTCCGTAGTCAGCCGAATTAAGACCTAGGGAAAAACTAAGACAAACTATACAATTACATCCGAGAAAAACAAACCCAATCTGTGGATGGTTTTCGCTGAGGAGATCGACCCGGAGCCCGGGAGCCCGGGAAACCAGAACCCACCGAAACCGGCCCGGAACCAATAACCGGGAACCCCGGAGCCGGGAACTCGGGAACCCAGCCTGCCACCAAAATTGGCGGGAAACTTTCGCCAAATCTTTCAACTTTCCGCGAGGGCCCCTTCAGTGCAAGCACTGATTGGGGAATGAGGGACCACTGAGCCCCTCCCCAATGCAAAGGGCTCCTCGCCCAGCGGCCCGACATCCTGTAGCTTTTGGCTTGGCCCCCGCGCGCGCCCGCGCAGTGGCACGAGTCCCAGGCAGAGAGGCAAAACAGCAGGCAGCAACCGACGACGACGACGACGACGACGACAACAGCGCCGGACAACGACGGCGCCGGACAACGACGACCAATGGCACGACCACGACGAAGGATCGGCGCTGACGCGGTCCCGCGGCATCTCTCGGCCTTGGTCCTCGTGCCTCTCCCCTCGCTTCGAGCAGCCGAGGCGGCGAGGCAGAGTGGCAAAACAGCAAGCGGCAACCAACGACGACAACGACGACGACGACGACGACGCGACGACAGCGCCGGGCAACGACGACCAATTACGCGACCATGACCAGGATCGGCGCTGACACTGCGAGGCAGGGATAAACCCATGTCCACCTCTGTTGGAACCGACGTCCTGGGACCCCAGCGGGCGGTGGATATGGACATGTTTGGCTTCCCTGGGGCCCGATCATATCCGTATCCACCGCCCGCCGACGTCCCCGAAGGTCGACCCCCCAAGCGGTGGTTATGGATCAATCCCCGCCTCGGAGACGCGGTCTCGGGAGCGGCCAAGAGGGGGGTGTCCAAGAGGGAGGGGTGCAAATCATGACCGGCGACACGTGCGCGGCCCAGCGAGGGGACCAGGGACATAATGGAATAAGAAGGGGCACCATGAAATCTGGAGAAAAATCATGGCCCCCACCATGATATCCCCCACCCCCTAGACATCACCCCCCTCTTTGCCGCCCGCGACGGTCCCACGACATCTTGGCCTCGTTCCTCGTGCCTCCTCCCTCGATTGGAGCAGCCGAGGCGGCAAGGCAACACAGGGGGGGGGGAGGGCGCGCCTGGTCGGCAGGCGGGCCGCCGCTGGACGCGCCGAACATCGACCGCAGCTCGGCCCCCCTTGTCACCCGCAGGCCCTCCACCCGGCGCCGCAGCTCGCCGTCGCCGGAGCCGGGCCCTGCGCGGAACGCAGAAGGACACGGACTTAGGAGTCAACTCCTGGGATGTCCTCGTAAGATCGATCAAAGGCTGCATGCTTGGCCCAATTAAGGGGGCGATCTAGCGGGATCGAGCCACATTGAGCCCGACTGCACTGGGCAGAGACAGATTCAGCGGAATAAAACAAGACTGTGAAACAATAAGTTTTCGGCCACGGATATACCAACGCCGATGCTGAATTGACCTCCCAGGAGTTGCATCCAAAACATACTAGTGCCATGCGCCCCCACTTGGAAGCGCACACCTGAGGCGAATCTATAGCACAACACACGTTACAGTACATCGCGGCGGCGAGTTCGTGACGAGACGACCCCGACGTTGCTTCCTGACACCGCGTGGATCGGCCAACCTTCGACGATCGGCGGCTGTTCGATCGCCAACTCCATACTGGCCCATTCTAGGCCACCAGTGGCGCTCAACCCGGAACGCCCGCGCCGGGGTCGCAGCCGCGTCGACACGACCCTAACCTGCCGTGCCCAGGCGGTGCAGTCAGAACGTTTATCAAGGACGGGTGGTAAGGACGCAAGACCCTTGGAGGCCGAAGTTGGATTTTAGGGGCGGGGGGCGGCCAGTGAAAACGGCGAAGGACGGGCCGCAGAGGCAAGGACTCAAGGGTACCTAGATGATGGCACGCGTCCTTACAAGGCGCGTTGACTGTATGGCCTGACTGCGCCCGCCACCGAACTTACAACATAAGCCTTCGGAGCGCGCGCGTCGCCCCCGAGACGGGGCCGCCGACGCTCACGCGGTATAAAATGGGCCTGCGCGGTGCCGACCCTTGCCGTCGCTCGGACGTCCATTTCCCGCGCATGCGTCGGCTTCGCGCGTGTTTTTTTTGCGCTCGATCGCCCAGGATGGTCCTCGATGGTTCTCGCCGAGAAAACATGCACACGTCCGAGCGATGCCAAAGACCTGCGCGTCGCGCCCCGCAATGCGCACTGCTCTTCGCGCCCTCGCGCCGCCGGCCAGGAGGAGGGCGCTTCGCCAGGGCCCTCCAGCACAAGTCGCGGTGCGCGGAGCGCGGCTGTCTTCGCGCCCCCTCGGGTGACCTAGACGACGATGCACGGGTTGTTTCCTTGCTCGCATGCCCTTCGGGGCCGTTTCTGGGGTAATGCGGACATATGCCTCTGGCTCGGGCTGATGCGCTAAAGACCTTGCCTTCCCCGTTGCCATCGATTCGCCGATCAAGCGGCATGCTCACTCACTCGCTCACTCATGCCATACGCCGGAGCGCGTGGGCGAAAGAAGACAAGACAAAGCCAGCCGATTCTCGCCGCTTTGCGGGAGCGGCGGCACTACGGCGGTCGCATAAAACACAACGTGCGCGGCAGCAGGAGGAGGAGCAGGAGGGACGAGGGAAGACAAACGGCCGGCGAATGATACGGACTTCGCTTGGAACGTATCCGGCCGAAGGCTGCAGAAAGGACGCCAATGCACCGGGCATCACATGCAAAGTATGTACAAGCTACATAATGCTACTGGCGATCGGGTTCATCATCATGGTGTGCAGCTTGTTCAGAAATACTTCGCAATTCGATGCAGGCGCTGCGCCCAAGTATGTTCCAGGCCTAGATGAGCAACCGAAGCCTTGTGTAGGCATTTCGCCCATTCGTGTTTGGGCCTGCCTCTCCTCCTCGGGTATGCATCCACGGCTGAAAGAACACTGCCGGGCTGAAAAGTAAGTTGCCGAAGAAAGTCTGTTTGTGGAGCCCTGCCAATTTTGCCAAATAGTAATAGTTGCTGTTGCAGAAGTTGCGCGCTGTACTGGTTTTGGCCAGCTTGTTCCAAAACTTTGCTATTCGGTACTCGCGTAATAAAGGCGGGAGGTATATGTAGTATTCGTCGCAGGCATCTTGCTTGAAATCCATCCAGCCTTCGCCTTTCTGCTTTGTTTAACCACGCCGTGTTTACTGAGTATATGATTTTGGATGTGACCAGTGCTTGGAATAGATCCAGTTTTCGCTGGTTTCTTAAAACCGTGTGTTTCCACGCTCTGTCATACTTGGAAGATTCGGCCCAAGCTGCCCCTATTCATTTGTTTAGCTCGGTACCCAACTGCCAATTATTGTACAAACTAGCACCCAAAGATGTCATGCTTCTTTTTTCGGCAACGAGTTGCCCCGCCGGCGTCCTCAACTTCACGTCGCTGTTTATCTTGATCATCTGGAATCTGTCCCAGTGCAGCTCCATTCCAACCCGCACCCCCGCCAAAGCGATGCTGTCTAGGAGGTTTTGTAAGCTGGCTTGGCTTCTTCCGATAAGCAGCGTGTCGTCGGCATACAGCAGCACCGAAAGACTTCCAGAAACCATATCGAACTTGTCATTGTCGCTCAGATTAGAGGGAGTCGGCTTGCCGGGGGGGTCGGGCGCGCGGGAGGCGGGCGGAGGCGTCGCCGGCGCCCCGCGCCCCCGGGGGGCTCCATGTTGGATTTCCCAGGCTGCGCCAAGCGCGCGCCCGCGTTACTTGCCCGCGCGCTCACATTCGCGCAGGCGCATCCTAAGAAACTATGATTTGGATCGGAACCGGGCGACAACGGGCATGGGGCGCCTGTCAAGGCTGCTTCTGGGAGCGATTGCTGCTGGCTCAGATTGTTCACGGCGTCTCGCAGGACCACAGTCATCAACATGACGAAAAGAAAAGGCGACAACGGACACCCTTGTGAAATTCCAGACATTTGTTTTCTTTCAGAAGATTTGATGGCCCCGTCGGCTACGCAAAATCGGTTGGCCTCATAAGTATTCCCAATCAGCGTGAGCATGTTCAGAGGTACCCCAAAGCTGCCCAGAGCTGTCAAAAATGCTTCGGCGTTTATGGAATCAAATGCCTTTTAACAAATGTAGTCCCACCATCTGTCCTGGCGTGCGTGAGCTCGATATGACGGCGTAGTGCGTGAACGGCGTCTGTTGTACCACGCCCACGGCGGAACCCGCATTGAGTTTGGGTCAGCCGGTCTTCTGCCCCTGCCTGTTGTAGACGTTGTAGTAGGAGGTTGGCCAGGAGTTTGTACGCCACGCATAGTAAACTAATTGGCCGGTAATTTTCACACATGTGGATAGGGCCCTTGTTCTTGTAGATTGTGCTCACAGTGGCATGCCGCCATGCTTCCGGAACTATGTGCTCAGCCCATGCTGATGCTACGATTACACCTGCACGCTGCGCACACACAACACACAACACACAACAAACAACACACACACAACACACACGCACACACCACGCACAACACACCACACACACGCACGCACACGCACATGCACACGGCACACGGCACACCGCACACCGCACACCGCACACCCCACGCCACACACCACACACCACACGCCACACGCCTCACGCCACACGCCACACGCCACACACAACACGCCACACGCCACACACCCAACACACCACACCACACCACACACCGCACACCGCACACCACACCCCACACAACACACAAACCACACCACACCCCACACACCACACACCACACACCACACAACACACAACACACAACCCACAACCCACAGCCCACAACCCACAGCCCACAACCCACACCACACCCCACACACACCACACCCCACACACACAACACACAACACACAACACACAACACACAACACACAACACACAACACACACACAACTCACATCACACAACACACAGCACACAACACACAACAGACAACACACATTACACAACACACACAACACAAAACACACAAAACACACCGCACACCACACACCTCGAACCGCCACAGCCCACACCCCACCCCACACCCACACCCACACTCCACAACCCACGCCCCACCCCCCCCAACCCCACACCCAACACCCCACACCCCACACACCTACACCCCACACACCTACACACCTACACACCTACACACCTACACACCTACACACCTACACACCTACACACCTACACACCTACACACCTACACAACTACACACCTACACACCTACACAACCCACGAGCCACGACCCACAACCCACGACCCACGACACACAACCCACAACCCACTACCCACAACCTACAACCCACAACCCACAACCCACAACACACACACACACGAGAAGCAATGCGGACTGCGCCAGGCTCCGCCAGGGGTGTCTGCGCTGACCCCCGACAGCTCGTGCTTATCAGTCTGTCCTCCCCTGGAAGGAGGAGTAAGGCGAAGGTTGAGGACACTCTGTAAATCTACCCCCGGGATCCTCGGAGCAGCATCGCTACGGCGGCGGCCACCGACCCAACCACGGCCAGGGCCACCGTCAGCCAGGCCAGCAGCTTGACCTTGGAGAGCTGCACGACGACCACGGGCGTCTCCCTCCCGGGCGGAGCGGCGGCAATGGAGGTCAGGTTGAGCTCAACGGTCGCGTTCGCTGTCTGCCTCACCAACTCCGCCACCTTTGGGCGAGGCCGAATCGTATACGCACCACCGCCGCTCACACGACACGATGTCATAACTCCTTGGCGTCGGCGCCGCACACGACGACGCCGCGCCCCCGCGGTAAGCAGGAGGGCAGCGGAGCGCGCGGGCGCTGTGGAGGGGCTGCTCCCAAGGCCGAGAACGCCCACCACGGGGTAACCAGCCTCGAACGTGTCCCTATCCCTAAGATGGGCGAGCAAAAAGCGAGAACAACCTTAGGGATAGGCCCTCAGGAACTGAGGGAGTCCTCAAGATCGGCATCGAGGTGCGGTGATGTCAAACATAGGGATAGGGATATGTTTCAAACTGGTCATGGGGGTGGTGGTCTGCAACGTCGGCCCCCCCGCCCGCGCCGACGCGGGGCCGGGCGCTGCCCGGCTCAGCGGCGCGTGGACGCGCGGCCGCCCACCGCCGGCCGGCGTGGCCCCCATGGAGGGCACGGGCGCGCATCGCGCGCCCGCCCTCCCCCTGAATTGACCTCCCAGGAATTGCATCCTAAACATACTAGTGCCATGCGCCCCCGCTTGGAGGCGCACGCCTGAGGCGAATCTATAGCACAATCACGTTCTAGTACATCGTGGCGGCGAGTTCGTGACGAGACGACCCCGACGTTGCTTCCTGACACCGCGTGGATCGCTCAACATTCAACGATCGGCGGCTGTTCGATCGCCAATTCGTTCCATTCGGGGATTGACAAACCTCCCTTTAGTAAAACGTGGTTTAGTGAAAACGGCCTCGGGTCCAAGCTGGCGGGCGCGAGGCTGGAAAATAACGGCCACAGAGCCCTCTCGAAAACCGGAGACGGACAATTCACTAGTCGACGTGTCACCGTGGGGGGTCTGTCCAACCCCGACTTGTCCCCTCGTCCCCCCCCCCCCCGCGCGCCGCCCCCGTCGTTCGTCCGTCGCCGTCGTGCTCTTCCTTGCGCGCGGGTTCCCCAAGGCTCTGGAGTTTTGTTTCCTTGCAGTGGCGTTCCTCGGGTTCCCTGGTCTTGGTTCGGGGATGGACAGACCTCCCTTCAGTAAAACGTGGTTTCGTGAAAACGGCTTCGGGCCCAAGCCTGGCGGGCGCAAGCCTGGAAAAAAAAACGGCCACGGCGCCGGGACGCTCGGCAGCCTCTCGGGGATGGACAAAACTCCCTCCACGGCGCCCTCTCGAAAACCAGAAGCGGACAACTCACGAGTCGACGTGTCGCCGTTTGGGGTTCTGTCCAGCCCCGCCTTGCCCCCTCGTCCCCCCCCGCTCGCCGCCCCCGTCGTTCCTCCGCCGCCGTCGTGCTCTGCCTCGGCTGGCGGGCTCCTCGCTCGCTGGCACCCAAAAAAAAAGTGTAACACTCGGGTCCCCCGTGTGACCTGTAACCGTCGCCGTCGTGCTCTTCCTTGGCCAGCGGGCTCCTCGTTCGCTGGCAAAAAAAGAGTGTGACACTCGGGTCCCCCGTGTGACCTGTCACTCGACTTTCCCGGTGGAGCTCCGCCGTCGGGGCTCGGAGTGGTCTGCGAAGAGCCAGCAGGCAAGGGCGGCCGCTCTGCGCCAGGGTTCCGAAAAGGGTGCCGTGGTCTCGTGCCCTTGAGCGCGGGTTCCCCAAGGCTCTGGAGTTTTGTTTCCTTGCAGTGGCGTTCCTCGGGTTCCCTGGTCTTGGTTCCTTGGTTCCTTGCTTTTGGATCCTTGGTCTTGGTTACTAGCTGCCTCGCCGCGCGATGCCAGGCAAAACCAAACAATGCGAAATAATGACGCGCGGTGTCACGCAGTGCCGCAGTGCCAAACAATGCCACGCAACATGCCAAGCAATAAGCCAAACAATGCCTCGCGATGCGTACATGCAAAGGGCCCCAAAAATTGTCCAAGGACTATGTGCCTGCACATCGGTCGCGACTCTCACTGCCCTCGAAGGCCTCGTGAGGTTTTTAGAACCCTGCAGAGTCTCAACATCAAGAAGAAAACGCAGCAACCTCCTCCTGGCCCGAGGGTCCGGGAATCCGGCGAAATCGCCCGCTGGGACAAAATGCAACGCCCAGGTCTCGGGGACTCCCTCGGCCGCCCCCCCCAACAAAGATTGGGCCCCGCTTCTGTCCGACCGGCGCCTTGCCGCCGAACGTCGCCGTGGCGTTGCTCAACACCTCCCCCAGCTCCTGGAGACCTCCCAGATGGGGTCCGAGCAGATGGGGTCGGAGGATCGCGCCGCGTCACCGATGCATCGGCGATACATCGACGATACATCGGCGATGCATCGGCGCCGTCTCGGCGATGCCTCGGCGCCGTCGGCGTGGAGAAACCCGAGCTCCACATAGAGCCGCATCGGCGATGCATCAACGATGGGGCGCGATCCTCCGAGCCCATCTGCTGGGACCCCATCTGGGAGGCCGAGGAGGAGGGTTGAGAAAGAGCGAGGAGGAGCGAGGAGGAGCAAGGAGGAGCGAGGAGGAGGAGGAGGAGGAGGAGGAGGAGCGAGGTGCGAGGAGGAGGAGCGAGGAGCGAGGAGGAGAGGAGGAGGAGGAGGAGGAGGAGGAGGAGCGAGGAGGAGGAGGAGGAGGAAGGAGGAAGAGCGAGAAGGAGGAGGAGGAGGAGGAGGAGGGAGGAGGAGGAGGAGGAGGGAGGAGGAGGAGGAGGAGGAGGAGGAGGAGGAGGAGGAGGAGGAGGAGGAGGAGGAGGAGGAGGAGGAGGAGAGGAGGAGGAGTGAGGATGAGGAGGAGGAGGAGGAGGAGGAGGAGGAGGAGGGGGAGGAGGAGGAGGAGGAGGAGGATCGAGGAGGAGTGAGGACGAGGAGTGAGGAGGAGGAGGAGGAGGAGGAGGAGGAGGAGGAGGAGAAGGAGGAGGAGGAGAAAGAGGAGGAGGAGAAGGGAGAGGAGCTCCTCCGGCACGCCGTCCGCCATCACGTCGGAACTGCCTGCCCACACCTGTGAGAAGGGGGGGCGCCAAGGGGCGACGGGCTCCGGGGGAAGGCTTCGGGTTGTGCCCTGCGCACGGTCAGCCTCCCCAGTCGGCGGTGGACAAGCCTCCCTTTTTTAGCAAACCT